CCAAGCAGCGAAGACAATAATTCTGTGATTATACGGGCCGAAAAACTCGAACTCTGTATGAATACTACCACTGATTCCGTCCGTAGTCCACTAAGCTGAGGGAAGGGTAAACGACTTCGAACGTTTTGGAGTGAAAAAAGTGTTATGTTTGCCGATCAGTCTACGTTCGCTTCCTAATAATTTCCACATTGTTTCTATCAATCTTTCTGCTTGTAAAAGCTCGCAGCACAGTATCCAGTTCGAAACTACCGAATGCTATTTTGTAATCGACGAAAAGGAGACAAAGAGGGAACTGACTCGAGTTCCAACAGCACGTTTAGTAAAAAAATTTGGTCTATCATGCAGTTTTTTTATTATACATTACTATTATTGTCATAATTATTACAACTAGTAACTGCTGTTCTAATGATGGGTTGTTTTAAAACATTTCATTGCAAAAGGAAACACAAAATTAAAACAGTAAGCACACCGGAACTTAAAATTACCTGGAACTGAATGATTTTTTCAGTACCCAGTGATGCTTTGATTGCAGACGCTGATGACGCATAAACCATCTTCTTTTTTATGGAAGCGCCATCTGGACAACTGCAAGCTGGTAACCGATTGTTAAAGGATGTGAAGCGGCGAGAAAAAAAAGACAGGAAAATCCACAAACAGTAAGATTCTAAAGTGAAATTGTCAGGATAGAATGAATGAAAAATTCGATTACCAGTAAAAAAGTACTGGCATCGTGTACGTGAAGTGACTCACATTTGCAGGAAGACAATTTTATCCATTTTGGAAGTGCCTGCGCCAACTCTTGAGCATGTGAATTTGAAATCAAAAACTGCATATCTACAGTCCATGAAATTGTCTGTCCTTTCTCTTAGATCTTCCACAAATCGTCCAAATGCATCTTTTGAATTCGTTTCATAGTCGTCCGCTGACAGATTTAGTTCTTCTTGCGATACTGCTGCCTCGACAACTACTTCACGATCCTGCGTAAAAAAAAAGCACTTTTCTTTTAGTCGTAACGAACTACCACATTTGGCAAAAATCAGTGGCATTCATACTCGCTAAATTATGCTCCATGCCCGTTAACTTATGTATATGATTTACTGGACCGAAACGTCTTATCTCATTCTTGCCTCCTTTCCTCATTCTGTTCTTGCTTTCTGTATTCAATGCGCCTTCGACACTTCGGCATCCAAGTTTAACCTGGATGCTGCAATTGGCTTATCACTTCGGGGTGGATTAAGAACTGCCGGGTTCAGTTCCGCTCAAATCAAGCTAGCATATATCGGCAGTTTTCCTGGTTGACAAAGTACCTCCGCCTGATCTAGGTATCACAAGGTTCGAGACGAAATAGTGAGGTTCAACGCAAACCAATTACATCTCAACACATTTGTTGGGAGAACTGCTGGGATGGTAACTTGTAAAAAAGATAAAGGTCAGGACTGCCCGGGAGCTGACCACCGGTGATACAGCACTGATTAAAGCAACTGGAAAGGCTGCTAACTGCATAGCTTCAGAAAAATTTAATAAACTACAATAAGCAAAGC